CTGAAGTGCAGCACAAATTGAGTTTATTTCATTGTATTCACAGGAAAACACTAACTTGAGAGTTGTATAGTGCCTGTAATTATAATTTATTATAATCAAAAAGATTATAATAATCAAAAGTGCTAAACTGCAAGGGTTATACAGCTCAGTGTCTATATAATGGGAGGCATTCAGGTTCAATCTCAGGAATGGAAGGTTAAGTCCAATTCCTTGGATCAAGAGCCCTCACTAGTATTAAGGCACTTCCCCCAAGGAATTATTATATTTACAAAAGAGCACTAAACTTGCGATTTATTGCGAACAATCTTACTGAAATGTAATCGCCAAAGCCATTTAGTGCACTACTGTGGCACTGTATTGTAGGCTCAATGAGTAACAGTACTGTGCAAATAGTTATGATGAAGCACAAACTCTTGGACAAAGAATTAGTAATAAAGTACTTTCAGGAGCAGTGTACAAGAAAAAAGCACAATGAAATGCAATTCAAAGTGCATCAATGTTAAATGCAAAAAAAACACTACAGGATTAGTACACTAAGGTACAATGTATCATTACATCAAAGATGTACAACAGGTATGTAGTATTCACAAAAATGTACCAAATCAGTTGTCTTCCATTACTATTGAAACTCCATCCCAACTGTTAGTAAAAATGCAAAATATAGCATTATAATTATAATCAAAGGGTAACACTAAACCCGTAGGATTATACAGCATGTGGGGGAGGGGGGGATGTGGAAAGTATTCAGGCTTAATTCAGAGAACTGGAGCACAGATCCAATTCCCTAAATCAAGATTATAATTGCAATCAAAAGCACTAAACTGCAAGGGTTATACAGCCCTAATCAGGAGCCTCTCACCAGCATCAAGGAACCTCCCTTGAGGGGTATAGCATTTTAGTAATATATATTCATAAAACAAACACTAAACCTGTATGGTGGTCTAAGATTTTATTTCATCTATCAGGTGGGAGTGCAGAACTCATTGGTCATAAAGCACTTGGGAGTGGGAGGCCATCAGGTTAGTCAAGGATGGAGGAAAAGTTGTTCCTTGGAACATGAACATCTCGCCAGCATCGAAGCACCGCCCTTGAGAGGATAGTCTAAAAAATTATTACTTTTGGGACTACACAATTTTGTATCTATTCTTGCATTTAATTTTTATTTCCACTTTCATTATTTCTAATTTCACTATCATATTTCACTATTGTTTAATGAAAAGTTTATTTAAATAATTTTGTAATGCTTAAAGTTCCATTTATCTAATTATGGATCATCCTATATAATGTAGTTTACTTTAAAATATTAAAATTGTTAAAATTCAGATTAAATTTAAGAGGCATTGATAACTAAGCCATTCAGCACAGCACTGATTTTTATAACTGGTTAGAAACCATTGCATATATTTAGTTTTCACTATTTTTGAGTTCCTTTCCCCTTAAAGGAGATTCCTTGATGCCAGTGAAGGGCTCTTGATCCAAGGGTCATCCCTTCCTTTGAATCAAATCAGAATGCCTCCCATTGCCCCTGGAAATGGGAGGCATTCTTCATGAACGTATTAAGCACAGCAATGACCATGCTAGGGATGGGTAGATACCAAAATTTTTGCCAAGAGCAATACTCAGTTTCAGGCTGATACCACTGCAATCAAAATTAGCCAATACTCACTGATATCAAAATTAGCCGATACCAACTGATACTTAGTTTTAGGCCAATACTGATACTTTAGCATACAGTTCAACTGAGTAAGGGTGGGTGTCTTATCATGAATAAAAATAAAAAAAAATCCTTAGCCAAGTAGTTATCTGATGCCAACATAATAAATCGACTATAAAACAATGGGCAAAACAAGCATGTCAGGTGAATTTTAAGATGTTGAATAAAAGCCATTGTGCTCTGAAAAACAGGACAACCTATCAAAAGTTGCTTGGTTACCAGAATAACTGAGCAATTCTTATAGAGTGGTGCAGGGTACATTTTAAGAGAGAACCATGGACAAGTCTGGTATGACCATGCACAGTTGCTGAGTAATTACCAACAATGAAGTGAAGATAACCAAGAGCCAAAATGTTGAAAAAAAGTTCCTGGTCACCATAACTAACAATGGTTTCATGCCTTAAACCTTGTATATACAGTATGAACAGTGTATAAAGTTTATATTTTCATGTCAACATTTCTTAATATTCTTCTTCACACAGAGCTTGGGACCTCGGTGTCATAATCCATCCTTCTATGCATCCTATGTTGAGGTTCTTTAAAATCCTATTCAAAAACCACTGTTAGGGCAAAATCAAAGTAATCAGAGGCAGGACAACCCTACAAAGGTACACTGAAGACTATTAACAATTATGCATAAATATATAACATCCTAATTTCATGTACAGTGGAACCTCAAATATCGAACTTTCTTCGGTCCAGAAGGCTGTTCAAGTGCCGCCACCGAACGAATTTATTACCATCAGGAATAATGTAAATTAGATTAGTCCATTTCAGACCCTCAAAAATACACTTATAAAAGCACTTACAAAAATACACTTACATAATTGATTGAGTTGGGAGCAGTTCGATTTTTGAGGTTCCACTGTAATTGCTATAAAATATTTTATGGCAATATAAAAAATTTTTTGTCACTACCTAAACCAGATCCCATAATGCCATAAGTTACAGGAGAAAGGTTGCCCACTGAGGGTAGCTGACTGGGTTTTTGTTGAGCATTCAAAATAGATTTTTATGTTTAACCACTTCTTCCTGTTTTATGCCAACCCAATACCTGGAGGGTGTTCTGGGGGGTCAATGCCCCCCCCATGACCTAGTGCATGACCAGGCCAAGCAGTTGATCAGGGGCTGATCAACCAAGCTGTTACTGCTGGCTGCACGCAAACTGTTATACGAACCACAGCCCAGTTGGTCGGGAACTGACTAGGTGCCTGTCCAGTTTCTTCCTGAAGACGGCCAGGGTTTTTTTGGTAAATACCAACTGCACAAATACAGTATATAATAAATTATACAAGATTACCTCATTATCCATATTTAATTGTGCAGAAAAAATTTTGAAACATAGGCAATTTTACTTTTTGTTTTCCCGTATTTTAGCAGTAGAATCCTGAAATAATTGAAAATGGGATCAGCTAAACCACTGTAGTTCAGCGACTTGTATCATTCAAAAACTAGCAATTTTTCTTTCTTTATTCTTCATTGTTATTTCTTATGTGTGCTTTACTTATAATGAGACAGTACATTTTGATGGCTTCCTTTCATGTTGCCATAGTGTCACAATACATCTGCCAATGATATTTTGACATTGTATTTAGACTATACTGAAACAAAGTACAAATGAGCACCAAGTACTGTACCTTATTTTTTGTCTATACAAAGTGCACAGCAGCATTCGCAGACAATATACAAGTGTCAGAATTACTGACCTCCCTTATCAAGTAAACGCCAAACCACTGTACATGGCATGATCAATGTTATTGTACAATGATTACTGTATTCTCTCAGAAATCACTTAAGTATTATCATAAAACAATGATACCCACCTAATTTCATCCCAAAAATAATAGTACTGTAAAGGAAATTGAAAGAAAATATTGTGTTATCCTTTAACCTGGAATGACTTACATATGAAAGCATACAGATGTTGAGATAGTCGGACAACTTGCATATCCCAATGATGGAAAGCAGTGCAAAAAAGTGACCAGCAGTTTTAGCATAAACAGTAAAGTAGAAAAAACAATACGACTTGCTAGCCAGATTGAATACCAAATGATAGACCCACTGATCAGAGATACATTAAATTCTCGAGCATGCTAACCCACGTGAAAATTGAGCGATGCAAGTAGTTATAACAGTGTTCGTCAATATGCATGGTGAGACATTCGAGCTGCAACTCCGTGCAAGTCAATGATGTTTTTCTTAAAAGAATATGTACCACAAATTTTTCTTCATTCCCAATTCTGTCCTCCTTTGAATTAACATTGTCACTCAAAATAATGTGATCTCTTAACCTCTGCATTTATGCTCAGAGGACTTTATATGCCTACAATAGATTATACATGCATACATAAGGTTTAGACTGAGGGATGTGATAACACATGGTTCAAGGTCACATACATACTAAATTTGACTTTAAATATTTCATCATATAAATTCTTATAAAACAATGGCTCAATTTATTTAGCTATTCTTCACAATCTTGGCTGCCATGATGTTCCATTTTCAACCAGCACTACAAATACAAATCTCAATAAACAAATCCATATACCACTCACTGCCATCTACTGCACACAAATAATGGCAATCAAGAAAGCAGTTGTGGCAGCCATTCTCAAATGGGCACTCTCAGAGCAGGAAACAAGCAACAAACTAACAATATAACAGCAGCCGTAAATCATTAAGAATCACTAATTAGCCTTCTCTACACTGTATTAGTGTATATTCACATTACAAATTTATTTTTAATAGCAATAAAAAACTATTCATCAAACAATTCATTACTTTGGTATAAACTCATGAAAAAATTATCTGATGATGGTGTACCAACATGACTTCTTCATGAAGAATTTGAGGGCTAGCTCTGTGATCACAATCTGGAGGTGCCACTGCCAGCCAGTTTATGCAAGGAAGGCAGCTTATATGAAAGTAATGGTGACTCATCCAAAACCACAGCTGCACATCCCTTAAGCACCAGCTAGCTGCTGTGTGGGCTGCTTACATATCTTCATCACCAAGATTGTGTTTCACCTTACTGAAGTCGAAGTCCTCTCCTGTACCTCGACGATAGATAGAGAGCACATCCAAGCACGTTGTCTCGAAATGGGATGTGGCATCATACGATTCAGAAATAAATATCTGGTTCTCCTGACCATCATCAAGAGGTTTATAAATGGGAGAAACAGTGACGAACCTGGAAAAAACGTAATACCTTAACTTTATATTATCATAACCTTTGTTGCTAAAAATAATTAATAAAAATTATGCACTTCTGGTTTTCTCATTTAAAGTATGAAAAACTAAAATGTGTGTAAGTAAATACTACAAACTAATGGATAATGAGAACCTTCAAACCTAGGGAGGCCAAGCCCATGATGACACTCTTCAGGTCACTTGTTCTATCTAGGCTGGAATATTGCTGCACACTAACAGCACCTTTCAAGGCAGGTGAAATTGCTGACCTAGAAAATGTACAGAGAACCTTCACAGCATGCATAACGGAGATAAAACACCTCAATTACTGGGAGCGCTTGAGGTTCCTAAACCTGTATTCCCTGGAACGCTTGTGGGAGAGATACATGATGATATACACCTGGAAAATCCTAGAGGGACTAGTACCGAACTTGCACACGAAAATCGCTCACTACGAAAGCAAGACTTGGCAGACGATGCAACATCCCCCCAATGAAAAGCAGGGGTGTCACTAGCACGTTAAGAGACCATACAATAAGTGTCAGGGGCCCAAGACTGTTCAACTGCCTCCCAGCATACATAAGGGGGATTACCAACAGACCCCTGGCAGTCTTCAAGCTGGCACTGGACAAGCACCTAAAGTCGGTTCCTGACCAGCCGGGCTGTGGCTCGTACGTTGGTTTGCGGGCAGCCAGCAGCAACAGCCTGGTTGATCAGGCTCTGATCCACCAGGAGGCCTGGTCACAGACCGGGCCGCGGGGGCGTTGACCCCCGGAACTCTCTCCAGGTAAACTCCAGGTAAACTAACCAACTATCATGGCGATTCCTTAGCAACTATACCATTATTTGCAGATACAACTTTTGGCTAACATTTCAGTCAGTCCTTGATCATTATCTATAGTACAGTAGTCACAAACAAAAAGCCAGAAAGAAAAGGACTCAAGAATGCCAAGATCTGGCAAAGTAAATAATGCTCTAAAAGTTGCAGCACTTTACAATGTATTATATTGGAAAAGAAAATCACCAAGCGCATGCCAAGGCCCATGCACGCTGCCAAGTGCATGCCAAGGCCCGTGTGTGTTGCCAAGAGCATGCCAAGGCCCGTGCACACTGCCAAGCACATGCCAAGGCCCATGCATGCTGCCAAGCGCATGCCAAGGCCCATGCGCGCTGCCAAACGCATGCCAAGGCCCGTGCACGCTGCCAAGCACACGCTAAGGCCCGTGCGCACTGCCAAGCACATGCCAAGGTCCATGCATGCTGCCAAGCACACAACAAGGCCCATGCGCACTGCCAAACACCTGCGAAGGCCTGTGTGCTGTGGCACGCATGTGTTGAAATCTATCAATATTTATGTCAAACTAAACAAGTAAACTATTTCCAATTGAAATTTAAAATTTACCTTTATATACACTAAGCTCCAAGTCAAGCAACTCCCGAAAGTGCTAATTCAACAATATACTGAGGAAGTGAAGCCATTAATTGCATGCACTCGCTACAAATTATAATGGAATCAAGTGACGCATGATACTTCAGGTGGCCTTGTGGTGGGCAAGACCATAGGTTTAAGAGAAGGCTCTACCATCAACCTTATCACACCCACACCACCTGAAAGTTAAGTTCAAGTCTCGCATGACTTACCTAGTTCATTATTTTTTTATTAACACCTCAACCATTTCCCACCAAGGCATGGTGGCACGAAAAAGAAAACCTTTCATCATTCACTTCATCACTGTCTTGCCAGAGGCATGCTTACACTACAGTAATAAAACTGCAATATTTAGCACCCCTCCTTCAGAGTGCAGGCACTGTACTTCCCATCGCCAGGACTCAAGTCCAGCCTGCCAGTTTTCCCGAATCCCTTCATAAATGTTACCCTGCTCACACTCCAACCCCAAGTCAAGCCATAAAAACCATTCGACTCCACTCGCTCCTAACACATTCACGCATGCTTGCTGCAAGTCCAAGCCCCTTGTACACAAAATCTCCTTTACCCTTTCCTTCCAACCTTTCCTAGGCCAACCCCTACCCTGCCTTCCCTCCACTACAGATTTATACGCTCTCCAAGCCATTATATTTCGTTCCATCCTCTCTACATGCTTGAACCACCTCAACAACCCCTCCTCAGCCCTCTGGATAATACTTTCGGTAACCCCGTGCCTCCTCCTAATCTCCAAATTACGAATTCTCTGCAGTGTATTCAGACCACACATTACCCTCAGACATGACATCTCCACTCCACTCCATGCTGCAACATTCACTACCCATGCTTCACACCCATATAAAAATGTTGGTATAACTATACTCTCATACATTCCCTTCTATGCTTCCATGGATAATGTTTTTTTGTCTCAAAAGACTCCCCAGTGCACCACTCGCATTTTTCCCCAGTCATCAATTCTATATTTCACCTCATCTTTCATAGACCCATCGGCTGACACATCCACTCCCAAATATCTAAATACATTCACCTCCTCCTTCAATCTGATATCCAATCTTTCATTACCTAAATTTTTTGTTATTCTCATTGCCTTACTCTTTCCTATATTCAATTTTAATTTTCCTCTTTTACATACTCTACCAAACTCATCCACAAACCTCTGCAACTTCTCTTCAGAATCTCTCAAAAGCAGTGTCATGAGCAAAGAGTAATTGTGACAACTCCCACATTGTGTTAAATTCTTTATCTTTTAACTCGACACCTTTGGTCAACATCTGAGCATTCACTTCTCTTATGACCCCATCTATGAATATGTTGAACAACCATGGTGACATCACATATCCTTGTCTAAGGTCTACTTTTACTGGGAAAATCTCCTCTCTCCTACATGCTCTAATCCTTGTAATAACTCCCCAATGCTTTCAGTTACCTCCCTCCTATTCCATACATTTTCAGCATCTGCCACATTGCCACCCTATCATATGCTGATTCCAAATCCATAATTGCCACAGAAAACCTCCTTAACCTTATCTAAATACTGTTCACCTTTATGTTTCACTGTAAAGCCTTGGTCTACACCCCCTACCATTCCTAAAACCACCTTGTTCATCTCCTATCCTGCTCACAGTCTTACTCTTAATTCTTTCAATAACAACTACCACACGCTTTACTAGGTATACTCAACAGGCTTCTTTCCCTATATTTCTTCAACTCTTTTGTCCCCTATGCCTTTAAACAAAGGAACTATTCATGCTCTGTCAATCCCTAGGTACCTTACCCTCTTCCATACATATATTAACCCCTTGACTGTCGCAACCCCCAATCCTGAGGTGTCTCCTGGTGTCGCAAAATTTAAAAAAAAAAAAAAAAAAAATTCTTATGAAATTATAGAGAATCTCTTCCCGATTGTAATGACACCAAAAAAATTAAATTTGATGGAAAACTGACAGAATTATGCTCTCGCGAAGTTAGCGACCTCGGCGATATTTACAAATCGGCGATTTCGCCCACTTCGAGCCCTATTTTCGGCTAATTCCGTTGTTCCAGTCGACCAAACTCATAGCTATTTCTTTAGAACTCCATTTTTTTCTATCGATTGAGTACAAGAAACTGCCCATTTACCGATTTCAACTACCCAATAATGTGGTCAGAAATTTGCAATTTGGCCAATTTCACGAAAATTAAAAAATATGGCAATTTCAAAATAAGGTCCAGAATGAACAATGCAGACATTACTGGCTCTAAAATAACATTTTCTTTGTTCATCAGTCACGTCTCCAGGCCCCTCTGAGATTACTCTTGCTTTCTATTTTGAATTTTTATTCAAACAAAAAATAGAAGACTTACTATTATGCAGATTACTGCAATGCTGTAATAATTGTATAAATAACATCAACCCATTCATGACTGTATATTAGAATGGCTAGTTGAACATTTATTGGACAATGACATTTGTTTACTTTTGAACACTGGCAAAAATCAAACATTTCCCCTACTTTGAGCTCCATTTCCAGGTTCTTTTTATAGTAAAATCAACCAAAGTCACCTCTATTTCTATAATATGTTTTCCATTCTATCAAATGAGACCAAGAAAACGAGAATACAACCATAAATACTATACGAAAATAGACCACAATGTCGGCATTTTAATTAAAAAAAAACGGATGGAGTTTTTTTTTTCATTATGCACTGCGTGCTCCAGGATTTTTTTTTATATGGTGCACACTGACCACACAGACTCATTCTCTCACATGTGGGCCTACCAGCTTTCTCATGCTTGATTTGAAGCCACTAGAATTTACGAGTATATATACGTCAAACACGGTACCTCGTAAGACGTATATATACGGCCATGGCAGTCAAAGGGTTAAATAAAAGCACTAACCACTCCAAAACTATATCCCCACCTGATTTTAACATTTCTATCTTTATTCTATCTTTATAGGTAGTAGGTTGGTAGACAGCAACCACCCAGGGAAGTACTACCGTCCTGCCAGATGACTGTGAAACAAAAACCTGTAACTGTTTTGCATGATGGTAGGATTGCTGGTTTTCTTTTTCTGTCTCATAAACACGCTAGATATCGGGATATCTTGCTACTCCTACTTACACTTTGGTCACACTTCACAGACACGCACATGCATATATATATATACATACATCTAGGTTTTTCTCCTTATTCTAAATAGCTCTTGTTCTTTTTTATTTCTTCTATTGTCCATGGGGAAGTGGAAAAGAATCTTTCCTCCGTAAGCCATGCGTGTCGTATGAGGCGACTAAAATGCCGGGAGCAATGGGCTAGTAACCCCTTCTCCTGTATACATTTACTAAAAAAGAGAAGAAAAACTTTATAAAACTGGGTTGTTTAAATGTGCGTGGATGTAGTGCGGATGACAAGAAACAGATGATTGCTGATGTTATGAATGAAAAGAAGTTGGATGTCCTGGCTCTAAGCAAAACAAAGCTGAAGGGGGTAGGAGAGTTTCAGTGGGGGGAAATAAATGGGATTAAATCTGGAGTATCTGAGAGAGTTAGAGCAAAGGAAGGGGTAGCAGTAATGT